TAATGATGTAGTATTGTTCAACCATTGTATAACGCCAAACTAAGATTAATTTATGACGTTAATTCCAGCAAAATTGTATAAAAATATATAACAAAATAGTACTAGATGTAATCAGCCATTTCTCCTGGCAGGTATAGCAAATATACATATCTGTATGCCAATTTCCTGAAACGCCCATGCCCTATATATTTTTGGGAATCTCACAGAAATGTCACAAATAAGTCCCGGATTACCAATCTTTAGCCATTAGTTATACAGTTATCAAAACTAGTCAAGCACATATAAAAATTGAAAACCCAAATAAATAAGGTTCTTTCTCTCCAAGAATCACACGCAAAAATCTCTTCCCATATTTTTAAGCGTGATTAGCAACATTAGATGCAAGACGGAAAAGAAATTTCATGGAAGAGGTAGCAAATAAGGTGATGAAATACAATATATATATACATATATATATATATATATATATATATATATATATATATATATATATATATATATATTATTGCAAAAATCTAAGCAAAAAGGGACCTTTTTCAATGGCTATTGTTGAAATTAATTAAAAATATATAGATGAGTCAATATACAAAATTTGAAGAAGATTGGAGGTGATTTGGACTAATTTGGTAACAAAATTCGTAATTAAAATTGAGTTCAAAAATCCTTCTACGACATATGTATCAAATACGTATCACACATATATTACACAAATAGGTAAACAAGGATATACATGTGATACCCATTTGATACAAGTATGATAGATATGTAATACACAAATGATACACAGTGTGATACACGTATCATTTTTTTCATGTTCATCTTCTATTTCGATTTTTCAGCTCAACCACCTCAAAACTCCACCAAATCATCCCAAGACTAAGATTCAAGCTCCTTAGAGATGTACCAACTCTATTCTAATAACACCCACTCGAAAGAAAGCAAAAATTTAACTTTTTTTTGCTACAAATAGCTAATTGAGAAATATTGGTAATATTTAGCTAATATTAGTACTTCCTCTGTTTCAATTTATGTGAACCTATTTCCTTTTTGTCTATGCCAAAAAAAATGACCTTTCTTTATTTAAAAATAATTTACCTTTTATAGCCACACAAAATATGTATATCTCATTTTACACCACAAGTTCAAAAGTCTTCTATCTTTTCTTAAACTCCGTACCGAGTCAAATGAGTTCACATAAATTGAAACAGAAGGAGTAACATTTTATGAATTGGGTATTTTTTATGACAAGCTACTTATAAATAGACAGCTGATAATTTCCCTATATTTTTACATGACTCGGGATTTTCAGCCAGTTATACAAATCGAAGGGTCCCTGAGACCAGAATTTCCGACCTTCAAGGTTACACGAGCAAAAGCCAATCATTTTGTAGTTGAATAATATAGGAAATAGGGCTAGGTAAATTAAATCCACAAAACTGAACTACATTTCCTCCTCTACCCCTAAGCTTCTCTACTCGGGACTCTGCAACTCTTTTCCCATTGTGCCTGTAGTCTAAAGAACATGTAGTGACACGGACCGGATGACAATGAAAATTTAAAGAAAGAAATTGATTAAAAACTATCATAATTTTCTATGTGATGATAAGGTGGCATGATACAAAGAAGCTGAGCAACTACCCCACCACGGGATACCAACGTCATTAGTTACCATTCTTACAATGACATATATTTCTCCTTTTTGACTGTTTGTTCTTCTATTTTTCAATTCATCCTCCAGCAAGACCTGCACCAAATGAATATAAGTTATCATTCCCCTATAATTCTGGTGACATGTAAAACTCAAAGGGCAAAATACTTGGTCGACAACAGAAAAGGGCTAGGTTAAACAAGCAATATGTATTTGAAACCAAAATTAACAGAAATATTGCATACCAATTGTCAGCGTCTAGTTCTAGGCTTGCAGCGAAACTCAGCTAAGAGTGCTATATGATCGGAGGACCATTCTGGAGAAGGAAGTGCTGTATCTTTTCTCAAGCTTTCCTCGTCCAAGAGCTCCAACAACGATTCAACAGTTAAAGAGTCCGCTGAAAGCACATAACAAACCACCACGCATATCAGACTAAACATAAAAAACTATAGATAGGTACATAAATTTATAATTTTAATTATAATTATGACTGCATGCAGAAAACATAAAAGGGAATAAAAGACAAAAATATAACACGTCTTAGACAGAATCATGCAACAATACCAGAATAGAATATATAATCATGAGTCCCAATAAAATCTCTAGTGCAGTTTGTAAACAAGGGTTCATTGGTACTAGGATCCATCCTCCTCCGTTGCTGCTCTAGTCCAAGAACCACAGGCATTCGAGCGAAGGATGAGTAAGCACTGACCTGTACAGAAATATACCAATTTAAACAAAATGTGAGTTGTATAGTCAAGGAGCTTATTTAGTCTTCTCACCAAGGGAGTCTAATACAAAAAATACATCTTTTCCAGTCTGCTTTCTGGAAGAGTAGGGAACATGGGGAAGCAAACATATCTAGTTTGAAAGATAAGAGGGAAAATGGGAGCTTTCTAAAGTTACTGAAGTGATACCAATGGCAGTTGATGCATCAACTTTGTGGCTGGGCGCAAAATACCAAGTGGGTCCATTGCTAAATCTGGATGCATTGGATCAACTTTCCCCATTGCCAGAAGTGCATGAGGAGCGCTGCATTGCCAAGAGCTTTTATCAGTAATGTTACTGTTCCAGCCTGCTTTTGCATAAAATGAGGAAGGAATGGAGGTACAACTCTTAACAATGCCGATAAGGGACATGGAATTTGAAATCAAGAAAAAAACGGACCTTCCAGGAACTGAATTAAAATCACCACAGACTAGCATTGGAATGTCAGCACTAGCAGCAATTTTCTCTAGTCCTTTTAAAAGTGTGTGAACCTGAAATTTAAACAAACTGCCAATTACGTTTTTTACCCAGAAAAGACAGAGTGAACAATTCTATATCTTATCCGCAGTAGTAACCTGCCAAAGTTTAACATCCTTTAACTCTTGATGAACATTTACATGTGTGTTAGCCTGCATTCAGAAATGAAGGAATGTTTTCAGTACATGCGTGAACAGAAGAATATTACCACCTACATTTAAGTGGGCCGCAGAATAAGAGAATTTAAAAGATAAAATTTTGGCTGCTCCAACTTTCAAAATAACATGAAAGAGATTTCTGCAATAAGCACCAAGCAAAAACTTGTAATGAAGATAATTTTTCTCCAGATCAATTGCAAGTTCACCACAGCATGGTAACTCCAATAAAAGAAATAATTTTCAAGGAAACTGTCTTCCTTAGAAGAGCAAAGATATGATCCCCTATAACTTTTTTTAATAATTGTGTTGTCTGGGCCAGCTTGCGTGCACCTCGACTAATTCCACGGGATACATGTCAACTCCCGGGTAACTTTGCCCACCAAGACGTGGATAAATGGGAAGAAAGCTCCTAGTGTGTGTGCCTCCGTTGGGATTTGAACCTGAAACCTCATGGTTCTCACTCACTTCATTGGCCACTAATCTACACCCTTGGGTGCACACAATGCCTTATTATTTTCTCCGGGCATCTGTGTAAATTACCAATATGACAGCCGAAATACAGTCATTTCCATGGTACTTCGTCAATGATATCACACAATCACAGCCAACATCCATGCATCATGTATAGGGTAAAAATGGCAACACAAGTAAAAAGACGCAGTTGGTACAACATGGCACTTTAACATAGAGCGCAGCCAGAATATGATATGGGTTTGTCCCGCTGTCAGTTTATTGCAACATGGTCCATGCACACCAGGACTGTTTCATGAAATACTAATGGAAGCAAAGATGCTCAAAAGCCAAAACTGCCTATTGGCAAGGAAGAGATAGCATCTTGCCATCAGTTACTAAAATCGGATCTGATATCACTCCCACACAACACCCCAGCTGCAAAAAAAAATGGAAAATGGAAAAATATGTGTGTAAGAAGAGAGGAGAATTTCATTTTCTACCGTGGTCTGAAAAGAGGGAGGAGTAAACTTCTAAGCAAGCTATGAGCAGGAACTAGCAGGTCTTTCTTAGGTTGCTCCTAGATTAGCAGTTTTTGTTGAAGATTATTCTTTCTTTTCATTGTGTGAAGATCATTCTTTCTTAACTTGCATATTTCCAAAACTGTTGTACTTCTCCAGTTTCCTTGAGGCTAACTCCATAAACAAATTAAGAATAAACAAGCTAGCAAGGTAGAGACCAATTAATTAAATTTTGTTAAAGAGTTAATAAGGAAGAACATATAACGGGAAAGAAAACGTAAGTAAAGAACAATTGGGACAAGTAATGAGTTTGTAATAAACACCGATTTGCACAAAAAAATCCTGTTAAACTATCCTATTTTCTTGCTAGAGTGATGACATTCCTTCTTTTCCCGATAACATTAATTGTTTGAAGATGATCCTTTCTTAATTTGCATATTTCCAATACTGTTGTACCTCTCCAGTTTCCTTGAGGCTAACGTCATACACAAATTAAGAATAAACAAGCTACCGAGGTAGAGACCGATTAATTAAACTTTGTTAGAGAGCTAATGAGGAAGAACATATATTGGGAATGAAAACGTAGTACAAAAATAATTGGGACAAGTAACGAGTGTAATAAACACCAATTCGCATAAAACAATCCTGTTAAACAATCCTATTTTCTTGCTAGAGTGATATACTACATATGGAAAGAAAACTGTTCCAGGCATCACAACTGAGTCACAGAGCTGTCTTACTATCCCCCTCAATGATTAGTCTAGATATTCTGTTTCAACTACACTTCATTTCAAAGATCAATATTCTTCTTTAATTTCAGAAACCGGGATTCTTTCAATAGGACAAACTGATATCACTTTGGAAACCTTAAAAGCATTATGAACATGTACTCCAGAGGACACATATCTACAATAGTTGAAGGGACACAAATCTACAATAGTTGAAGGGACTTCAACTCTGTGTCTCTGTCAGCCAAGACCTATAATGAATATGCCTATCAGCCAAAAACCTAAAATGACGCCGAAGGCAGCAACAGGACATGCCATAATGCAAAATAGTGCTTCAGTCGAAAAGAAAACATGAGATATTCAGCACATCATAAAAATTAAAATGTGAAACACTCTGCAGACCATAATCATTTAAAGTGCAACCTTCTGTAGATCATAAACATTCTTTAACATAAAAACCTACACCAAGGCAAATACAAGCACTAGGAAAACTACCTTCATTTATAGGACTTGTATCCATTACCGACCCTATCCATAATATTTCCAGGCCAGATGCAAAAATCTCCAATTTAGAAATCGATTTTGATAATCTCATTAGTCTTTTATGTTAATTCCGCGTCCGTAACTAGCTACTGATTCATCGGTGCAGTTTCTTTAAGCTAATACAAATGACACAGTAAGAAGCTCTTGACAGTAAGATAATTGAACAATACAACAAAAATGATACAGATGATAGAAGTCAATTTACAGAAATGTCAAAAGCACAGCAACTTGAAATAAAAGACAAACTGTTGTCACACAACACTGTAACAGGCTGTGAGTTTATTCCATAGATAACAGCACAGAACAGAACACAGAATTTTAACACTAAAGGGAAAAGCGAAAGGAGCACCAGTTCCTTACCACACAAACAAGTTGGCGCTTCCCAGGGTTGTCAATCCCCTGGTTATTGAACTTTGCTTCCAGAACCACAATAAGTGCAACGTTATCCTGTCAAGCACACACTAGTGAGATATAAGCCCAGTTCTGAAATGAAATTCTTCATAAAACAATAAGGAACGACTTGACAAATTCGGCAAGATACCTTAACCAAACGACTTAGTGCGGTCTTCTTTTGGGCACTGGGAACTAAGGCTTCAGTCAAAGATTGAGCAGCTTTATTGAACTCAACCTGCAACAAGAGCATAAGAAGATTTCTTGTTACAATATTAATTCACGGATCATGTTATAAGAACTAAAGCCCATCACAGCAACACTGCTGCCATACCTCATATTTTTTAACATGTGCAAATCTATCTCGGCGGAAAAATGTGGCACAACCATCAATGGTATTGATATTTCCACCAAACACCTGCATATAGAAAGAGTGCGTCATTTAAAATCAAAAACTGTCAGATACAAACACATACTAAGCACCACGAACCTCAGCTGTTTTCCTTTTGAACAGAGCTTGATAACCATGTTTGTCCAGCTCAGGAGCGAAGAATTCCTCAAAGTGATCACTCTGAACCTGAAAATGGAAACATACAGCATTCAGATACAGGTATTTATAAGTCCAAAGGCAGTTCACAACACTCATTTAACATGACAATTATATTGGAAGACATGCCTAGATGTGAAAAAACAAATCCTTTAAGAAGAAACTGATTATGCATGCATCAAATTCAGGAAGAAAATATATTGTGACCTAAATAAGAGCATATTTCAGGAAAAAGGAAACTCAGTAACGCGTTTTAATGAAGTGCTGGGGCCAGCGTAACTAACCCTTTCAGGAATTGCAAAGAAGCTATTATACACTCTTAAAAGGTCTATCTCCTCTAAATCACTATATAGCAGCACGAAGCTACCCTCCAGAGGAACATGAAAAGTTTCTCACACCTCCTGGTCTATCATAGCCAAAGATATCCAGAGGTACAAGATCCAAGTAGATCAATCAAGTAATTACATATTATAATTTATCTGATGTTATAGCTACCTCTTGAAGGCAAACAATGTCAGCACGATAGCCAACTATTTCACGCAATAGATTTTGTCTCCGATAAGTCCAAGTAAGAGCCCAAGAGGGACAATAACTGTACAATTCATTTGTTGCATATGCATCAGACAGAATGTTGTATGAAAGCACAGTAAAAGTTCCTGAAGATGATAAACGACTATCTAAGTCCAGATGCACTGGTATATCAACCCCATTAACTGAAATCAAGCGACGTGGAGTAGGAGATGGAGCTGGAATCACTCGAGACGTTAACACGGTACTAGCATGTCCAACAGGTAGTTTGGTTTCTGCATCGATGACGGCACATTCAAATTTAAGGGCGTGACCAATATCATCTGCAGATGGTGTGTAAGTTTTAGAGCGTCCAACTTCAAACCAAGTTTCACCACCATTTCTTTGAGCTACAGCTGCAGGATATAATGGTGCCGTTCCATTTGTCAAGCTACCGCTTGATTGCGAAGAAGTCAAGCTCATATTAACACCAGATCCTGTACTATTGAATCGCCCAAATAATTCTTCCTCCTCATTTCCGTTTTCATTCACAGCACTAGCAGCACGTTCATGCAGAACACGATGATGCTGCCATGCATCTGAGAAACATTTCGGCGAGCAATGATAACTCTTGGCAACGGGGATTTTGGCCTTCACACATCCTAGGCATTGCAATGTAGCTTGCTCAGATGGGTGGACGCTGCAGATGGCAACTTTTTTATCACTTTGTATGCGGTACCTGCAGAAGAAGTCATATATCAAACAAGTAAAGGATAAAGAGTTCAATAGATATTGTTTTTCTTGGCAGCAAGGAGAAACGACAGTTCAATGACATCTTTTTAGTGGAGAGAATTTTAAGTTAATGAACCAAACAGCAGGTGCCAGCAGTCAGCTATTATTTCCATGGTATCAACCATAAAAGGCTAAATGTTTTAGCAAACACCTGATAGCAATCTAGTAACCACATGAGGTTGATTGTTAAGCTGTTCTCAGTGCCCACATGGTTGATTGTTTAGCTGTTTTTGGATTTTCTTTTCGCAAACAACCTACTGGAAAGGAAATTATTCATCTCTCTAAGAGATATTAAAAGCACACATATTCCCGTATTAAATACAAATTACGTAATATAAGATCTCGAGGGATAGAAGTCTCGACGAAGCACTACTGGGTTGATACATTAAGAAACCTACACTGAAAAGTATAAGTGACAACATATATTTGTAAACGACATCTGATTTTTCATTGAATATTTTCCAAAGTGAGTCATTTGTCCTCATTTTTCCTTTATGTTCTGTAGCGCCGTCAGTGGCGCCAAGGTCTGCTAGGGTTTTAAGCGTAAACACTGCAGTGTTGTCAAAGGCGCGCGTAAAGCGTGCTTAAGCCTGAAGCGAGGCTCAAGACATGTTGAGCACTTCCCCTCGCTTAGCGGACACTTCCGTGTCGTCATCAGGGTTCTAAGGTATACTTCCTTGCCAATGAGCATAATCCCGAAAAGGTGAGACAAAACAATTGATATTTCACTTTCTTGTATGTTTTTTCAATTTCCTTGTCCATATATTTATTATTTATGCTTATTATTATTAGTATTGGACTACACATACATATTTGAACTTTTTCTCCCTCGTGCCTTTTTTCATTAAAGCCCGTGCTTTATTTGTGCTTAACACCCCAATAGACTTTAGAGCTTTTTTGCGCTTTGCGCCTTTGATAACACTCTAGACGCACTTAAGAAAGGCACATTAAAATATAAAATATATATCACATATATGTAACATAGAAAAAAATAATATAAAAACCAAAAATAGTAATACAGACAAAAGAATTGGAAAAATTGCAATTAAGTGAAATATATGGAAAAAAACATTTCAATTTAAAACATTTAAAAGTCTGATTCAGATGCAAACAATGAATTTTAAATTTTTAATTAAAATTTTGCAACTTTACTTATACTAAATCCTATTTTCCTATTCCTAATTGTTAACATATACATCCATAACATTTCCATAATAATTAACAGTCCATAGTTTTGCCAACTGTATTTATTGTTTAGTTCCACTTTTTTCAAGACAGTTCACAGGCGACGTGGCGCACATCTTAGTGCCTTTGTGCCTGCATTAAAGCACCACCTAAGCAAAGTGAAGCACACAGCTTGGCTGCAACTAGCTTCAAACTCTAGTGTTCTTCCAGCAAGCCAAAACCTTTCTGTTTATAGTCGCCATACTTGTGTGCATTAATGTAAATGATTTTGCACGTCAACAAAAAGATGGAAACCAACAAGCTGCAAAGCACTAAGCCCATATAAGAAACCTTTTTTAATAAATGCACCTATGTAAATTGCGCAAAAACGGAGATGAAAACATACTTTCATGTCAACGTAAGGAATGAAACAAAATAATTCTCCAAAGTTTAAATAAAGTAAGACGAATGAGCAACATCTCGAACATTCTACAGTTTCGAAACTCCGAGGGCCAAAAACTTAAAAATGGTGCATAGTATTATGTTTTATCTGTTACTATTAAAAGTATTTTTATTGATATTTTTCTCCAACCACTGAAATTCATAACTTCTACACAGTTATGCAATTCCAGTTTCAAGATTTATGGTGCCTTTGCATCCTAAACCTTTTGTATCTAATGCTTCCACAAGCAATGCTCAAAGTTTTTTAGACGGCGACATGTCTTCAACGATTATAAACATACATCACCTGATTTATGACAAGTCTCTCTTAAAGAAAAAAAATAAAAGTTCCTTTCACTAACGAGATATAAGATACAGTGCTATCAAAATCGGCAAGTAAAAGCTCTCATTACTATAATGCCATCGTATTGTGAAAAGTTATGGAAATAGACCGTTCGAATTTCTTTTGATATGATATAGCAGCTAAACGCTCTATAAAGTCGAGCATCACATATTCACTTTGTTTATTGAAATCTGAAATTGAGAAATCATCACCTTCACTGAAATATGTTTCAATATAACATTCAAACTTGGAAGCACGATCTTTACCCGGCTTAACCACTAAGAACCCCACTGCGCAAGGAACATAAACGTCGTCGTGGAGAGCAGCCTCTATAGCAGCAACAATGAACAGTCTCCTTTTTATTTTCTTAATTGCTTTCAGTGCGGGTATATCATCAACACAACGACTCTTCTTACCACAGCTTCTTAAAAAGGTTACTTTTTTCTTTTTCTTTTTTTAAATAATCGAGAACTCTTCGAGAGCCAGCTGGAACGTAGTTCTTTGTCTTATTCTTTTTTGGGGGTGTGATAACAAAAATGTTACACATACGTCTAGCATGTTTAGTTATTTAGATCGTAAGAACCTATTTGGGAACTTGACACTAGGATTAGACATAGCCAATCCTACTTTTCTAGTTTGTTTATTTTAGGTCTAGTTCTATTTAACCTTTGTTGTGCAAAAATAGGATGTAATCAGGATTTAATTTCACCTTATCTGGCGGATTAACTCATCTGACTAGATTATTGTAATAAATGGCAAATATGATATTTAAGTATACAACCTAATATGTATAAAGTACCATAAAAGAGGCTCTTTTGCCTAAGATCAAGTGTTCACTCGCTGAATTTGGATTCAGGAATTACACAAGCATGTAATAAAATACATAGAGAAGTTCCACAACTGGAAAAGTCATTAGAGAGAATAAAAATCTACAGTTCCTCTAACGGACATGATGACGTTATGTCATCCACACTAGCAACGCATGCAAGTTTGTTGACTAGTGAAACACATGGAATTCTTCCAATCCTATTTCAGTGCATGCACAGTACCATAAAAGGGAAATTCCAGTTATATTATCCATCATATTTCATCTAAGATAAGGATCACATCATCCAAAATTCTCTCTATTTCTTTTAAACAATGGTGGTACGGCTAGTTTGCATGCACCTAACAAACAGCTAAAGTGAGGATCACGTCATCCAAACAAACGATGTAAAGCACACTTAGGCCCTGAAGCTCAGGTTGTCAGCTTCATCTCGCTTAACGATGATTTAGTGTAAGCATCAACGTGCTAAGGGGTTTGCATTTTCACTGATTGGCTCTTATCTTTAAAAGCAACAGCACTAGGCAATAGATATAGTTGAAAAACTGATACATGAGTTGTTAAGAAAAAATCATGACTGAATTGTTAGTTATTAGCAATAAGAAATTAGAAATTTAATATAAGAAAATTAGCCACAAGCCTCTAAAGCCTACAATTATATCTTCTCATTCAAAAATTTTATATAAGAAAATTAGCCACAAGCCTCTAAAGCCTAAAATTATATCTTCTCATTCAAATCAAAAATTTAAAATGGTATTTGAACTTGATCATAATTTCAACTGCATATATATATAGCTTGGTTATAGATTTTACATTCTTTTGTGCAGATAATTAGTTTTTGTGTTTATCGTTAAATTTCTTATTTTGTTGTGTGTCTATTTCTTTTCTTTATTGCGCTTTTCTTCGCCAAAATCCACGCTTTAATTGCGCTTAAAACCCTTTTTTGCTCTTAACTTTTAACTAGTTTGGCTCCTATACTAGATTGTGAAAGTAGTTGCACCTCACACTCTAGAATAATATCTCAGACTCCACGATAATATTATTGTGGCAATCAAAATTGTAGAAGTGAAATCAAGCCTTTAACACATTTCCAATAATACTCTGATAAGGATTTTCGAACGATTACCTTAAGGATTGGATTGGGGGAAGGAAGGGCAGAGTTTACAGTACACTTTTTCAAAATAGTGGTGTCCAAGACAACTTGCGCATATGTTGACTATCTTACCAGTTACCTGCTACCCTCCCCCCACATGCATAGGTATCAGGTAACCTTGCCCACAAACACTTAGGTAAATGGGAAGAAATCACCTAGCTTTTTTTTGTCTCTATAGGGAAACAGCCTCTCTACCTCGCCAGGTAGGGTTAAGGTCTGCGTACACTACCCTCCCCAGACTCCACTTGTGGGATTATACTGGATATGTTGTTGTTGTTGTTGTAGGGATTTGACAGAGGCACAGAGCTTCGGATACATATCTGGTTGTAAACTTGTAATCATATTTCTTGAACGACAGGGGATAAGGAGCTAGTCACAAAATATCAAAGGAGATACTGCTTTCTGCCAGAGCTTATAACATTCACCTACTAGTTCAAACTGACAATCCAATCATAGTAAAGCCACTCTATTGCAAGTAGACTCGCGGTCTTATGTGATACAAGAAGAAATGTAGAAATTCCGCTATTTTATATTCCTTTTCTGTAATTTCTATAAACAAAAGTAAACTATCAGTGCATCATATTATATTTCCTAATCTAATTTATATTTCCAACATTAAAAAGATATGCTTGAATAACAGCCTATTTATGAGGAATTAAAGAAGGAAAATAAGGCAATAACCAACATATCCTTCATTTTCAAAAAAAAAAAATAACCAACATATCCTTGTAAAAATTAGAAGGAACAACAGTGAAAATATTTTCATTTATGAGGCCACTACAAAGTTCAAGACCAGAAAGTTCTTTATCCGTAAGAGAAAAGAAAAATTGGCTCTCCAATTTCCATGATGACCCTGACACACAAAACTTAAACGATTGCAAAAGATAGGATATGATAGCTTAATTCCAAAAAAAAAAATTTTAAAAGATCAACCCCTACATTATACTCATTCCTCTGGTAGAACAGCATAAATCGCAATTCTCGCAAGCGTTCCCACACACATGAACTAACTTGGTTACGAATGTTCTATTCTATCCACATGACCAAAAGGATAAAACTTGGACTAGCCACAAACTACTCGTTTTCCTCAATAATATTCAACACACACACATCCAATAAAATCCAATCCCTAGTCCATAAAAAAAGAACAGACATAGTGGAAACAAAATATAAACAGCAAAGAAGGTAAAACCAAAAAAAAAGGAACTGACCACTTATATCTCAAAAAACAGCCGTGAAGAGGAGCAGATTCAGGGATATCATCAGAAAGAAGTGAGGTGGCATCGGTGGGAAGGCGCAACAAAACATAAGGCGTAAGTTCACAGCCTACTATTGGAATGTCCGATGGGAGATGCACCCGCACCACAGTCAGCATTCTTCTCCACCTTCTTCACAAATGGTAATTAAATTATTAAACCTCTCTTCTTCTCTTTCTCTCAAAACTACTGCTGCAACTTCTTCTACTACTACTTTTAATAGTAGTGGGCGGACATGCGGCCGATCCGCCATCACCTGACTTCTGCACCAATCGCCAGCCTTCCTTCCCCTCAATATCCCCAACTAAAAGAATAAATAACCAAAAGAATTTACAACAAAAAAACCTAGAAAAATTAAACAAAAAATCGAAGAGATCTTCAATGAAAATGAAAATGAGGGGAAACTTTGTAGGGTTACAAAGAAATTGATAAATTAAACAGTGAAAGGGAAAATAAGAGTTTAGAGAGGGGGTGGGAAGGGGGAATCGGTTGATTGGATGTGATTTTAGGGTTTTACAAACAGATGAAAGCAGAGAGAGAAGGGGGGAAATGGGGAAGACAATCGTGTCTAAGCTTTCTAAATTCAACAATATAGGGGAAGAGCCGAAGGGGTATTTATATTTTTAAATTTTTATTACCACCACTAAAATTTAATATATAATCGAAAAAGCTCTACTTTTGTTCAAGTTTTCATAGTACTATTATTTTTTTCAAAGGAAAAGTCATATTTGCCTATGTAATCTTAAAAAAGGATTATAGTTGTCCTTCATTATACTTTTTTGATATATTTATCGTTATTATTATACTTTAGGATCATACTTATCCCTATACTCTTTAAAATGGATTACATTTTCCCTTCGTTATACTTTTTTGACATTGTGAGCATGTAATTTCTGCCTCACCAAAAATACTCCCACAAAATCAATAAATAGATTTTTTATTAATTATTTTTATTTTCTAAGAATTTTTTATAATTATTTGCATTTAGTTGCACCTTTTATGCATTTTTAACATTTTTTTTAAATCATATAAAAAAAACCAAAAAATGTTCAAATCATCATTACATAGCATTTGTAGGTCTTAATTACATCTAGAATCTAATTGCATAAGTTGAATGCTTTATTAAACGAAAATCACAAAAATAATGTTCATTTTTATATTTTTTTAGCATTTAGTATTTAAATTAGTAGCTTTCTTTCATTCATTCAAGATTAATTAATTATGTAAATAATATAAATAGATAATTAGTTTAATTTTACAAACTAGATTGATTTAGGATTTAATCTAGGTTTTTAATTAATTTCATTAAGTTAAAAAAGAAGAAAAGGAAAAAAGGAAGAAAAATTTGTTTGGGTTCCGATTCTAGGCCAAAGAAATAACTTCAGTGGCCCAATTCCCCTTTTAAGACTCAATTCCCGCCCTAGCCCAACTAAAACCCGACTAGCTCGGTCCCCTCTTACCAAAACGACCCCGTTTTGATGTTAGGCCATCTCAGCCATTGATCATTACAGATCCAACGGCTGAGAACCCCACACTCAAACCCCTTAAAAGTGTCGGAGAGACGGACCCCCCTTCAAACCCTAAACCCCATAACTCGTCTCTCTTCTTTCTCAAAGCTCCGCCGCCCGGAAATCGCCTCACGGCGGCGGAACACTCCCAAACCCAACCAAATCACTACCCCATACTCCTCACCTCACCCTCTTAGTCATTCCACCATCAATTTGCCCCAAAACCCCACCGAATTCCTCTAAACCCAGATCTAGAAAACAGAAACCTAGCTTTCCCTTTTTTCTGATTTTTTCTGAGTTTTCAAGACTCGATTTGATCGAAACATACGCTAGTTAATTGTTCTCGGCGAGAACGATTGATTAGCGTTATTTTTGGTCTATTTCGAAGAATTTCGGGTTTGCCGGAGTCCGTTCAAGTCAGCTGTCCTTATTGCCTACCCTAGGTATCCCTGTTCTCTTTGTTGATTTCCTCTCTTTTCTTTTCTTCTATTTTCTCTTTCTTCCTCGGCCGACCAGAATGTGCGACCAATGTGTTAATTTGAGGTCATTCGATAATTTCAGTTAATCAGTGTTTAGTTTAGAATCTATTGATTAGTTTGACTTTAATTACCTTGTAAAACTTGCTAAACTGTTATTAATAACATAATAAGTCAATTGCTTGTTAATCAGTTTGATTGCATGAGTTTTTAGTTTAATCAATTTTAAGTTAATTGGGTATCAAAACAAGTTACTTGCTAATTAGTTTGGTCATGCATTACTGTTTTGTTTGGATGCGTATGTTTTTTTTTTAAATAGTTCATTCATCATTAACCTAGGTTAAAGGAGATGTTTAGAAATAGAAACATTTTGTTATTTTAGTTGTTTGAGCTCATTTACTCTTTTGGGTGTTCATTTGTAATTAACAGAAGCAAAGGGGTCTAAAAGGAACAAGAAAGTTTAGGGCATAGAAAATCAGAAACTAGGGTGGCTATTTGTGATAAGTAGAACTTAAAGGGGTTAATTGAGAAGTACGAATGGATGAATTTTAGGTAACAAATATCAGAAGCTTCTAGTATTGGACAGCTGTCCATTTTTAGTGTTGAAAGATGCTGAAAATTGGGTAAAAGGACAATTGTACCAAAATCTGTTAAAAAAGATGTTGTACTATCCTTTTTTACAGCTGACATCTCTGAATTTGTGGCTGGAATATTCCCTATTATTCATATCCTTGTGCATTTCTTACACTCTGTATAAATAAGCTGACCCTCACTCACACACAGAGATGATCATTCAGCATACTCACTCTAAAAAAGCATCCCTGAATACTGATTTTTATTCTCTCTCGAGCTTCTTTTTTTTAAATCAGATATAGAAACAGAAAACCAAAAAAAGAAAAGTTCTCAAAGCTGTCTTTCTTTTCCTCCATTTTCCTACTGGTTTACTCCATTTATGCTGGGAATTCGAGTTTGATTGTGGGTTCCTGGTTCTTGTTGGTTGTTGTTGCTGTTTTCTGCTACTTGTAGTTTTCTTTTACTTCTTCTCCAAAGCCAGAGATTTATTTTCTGTTTTTGTCTATCTTGCTGTAATCAGGTACTCACCTTAAATCTGAGTTTTTGTTAAGGCATGAATGAGTTAATTTCTTTATTTGTTCCATGAAATCCTGATTTTCCATCATCATTTGCTGATTTTCTTATGTTTAGTATGTTAATTAGTAGATCTTGATTTAGTTAAACTTATGTGTGGTTTCTATTTATTTGGTGTTTTGAAATTAAGAAAGCCAGAATACTTTGCTCTTTGATCACTTGAACTGATGTGGTTATCTTGAGAGCTGCTAGAACTATCTCATGTTTAGCTCGATTATGTTGTAATTCTGAGTCTATTTCTGAGTTAATATTTCATGTTGTAAACTAGCTGATTATAAGTTGGAAGGTGACCGAGATTGTTTAACTCTAAATATTAGTTTAAATAGTTATTAATAGTACCTGGAGCATGTAGTGTCAGTTATTAAATTTTTGTTTTAAGTCTGAATACAAGTTCAGCGTTGTTTAAACCATGCAGATTCAATATCAGTTCAAAAAGGCTTTACTATAGTATTGGTTTGTTGAAGTATGTGGATTTGTGTTGAGTTTGGAATGTAAAGAGATGGTTTATTACTGAATACATGGCTATGGTTTGCTGATCTGACCACCAGTTGGGTCAGATTGGTGAATTCTAAGGCTAAAGGGTGGATTTGGAGTCATCTATGGAGGGAGATTAAGTAGAAGATTGATTATTTGATTATGTTCTGTTCATATTATGATATTTAAAGAGTTATATCTATTACCATTATTGACGACTGTATTATAATTCGCCAGATCTGTAAATATTAGAACGTAATCAGCCTGTCATATTTTAGATTAACTCAAATGGTTCAGTTGTCCATTTTCACTGTTCTTAGCAATTTTAGTTCTGAAAGTTTGAATGAGTTACTACCGATTTTGTTTTCTTAGCTCTTTATTGTTCATCGTTGGCTTAAAGGAATAGGCCACCGTTTAGTTGTTAAGAACATGAAATATATAACAATTTCACATCTTCTGTTAAGTTATCCAAATATTCATGAATCCTATCATTAATGAAATGGTAATTTCAATTGTGGTAACTAACTTATGGCCATGGGTGATATATCTTTGTTAGCTATTTAGGGTTAATTTAAGCGTATGAATTATTAGTTGGGCCATAGAACTTTAAACTTGATACAAGTTACGGCAGTGTTTGAATAGAATATTTTGGGCCGATAATTTCATTAACTCTTGGCCTTAATCTCAAACTTTAGGAAATATTAACTTATAAACATACGTAGCTTTACTTTAGGCGCGATTAATAAATCATCACAACTATGAGTACGATTCCCGTAGCATAGTCGTGATACATAATCCACAATTCAGGTGTGAATTTCATGTGAGCCGACCACAACTTCGAACAATAATAAAAATGAACATGTTGTAAATCGCGGGTGCATTTCATGTGACGCGGTTTGCAATGTGTACCAAAACGACAAGTGTACGACAATCATGACTTGTTCCAGAATTAAATCCATAAATAAATAAAAGCGGTTATAAAGTTAAAAATGCACAATAGGTTTAAAACATGCAATAAATCAGATAATGAGGCCAATTATTAATAGTTGAGCGACGTGCTAAAACCACGGAACTCGGGAGTGCCTAACACCTTCTCCCGGGTTAACAGAATTCCTTACCCGATCTTCTGTGTTCGCGGACCAAAAATAGAGTCAATTTCCTCGATTTAGGATTTAAAAAACCGGTGACTTGGGACACTATATAATTATCTCAAGTGGCGACTCTGAATTAAATAAATAATCTCATTTCGATTAATGTCACTTTAATTGGAAAAACTCCCTATCGCTATCCCCTCGGGAAAAAGGAGGTGTGACAGACATGTTTATTCTTACAATTATACTTTAGGATCATATTTGCCCCTCATCTATTAAATCCCCATGTCCCACCTTTGTTTTCCTACATGGCGCCTATGTGGATTTCTTTTTCCTCGAATTTAAATATGGTCACCTATTTAAGATAATTTAACTCGCCCACCCAATTAAACCAAACTCACTAACTAAAATAAACTGAAATCCTAATTCTCTCCCCCCCCCCCCATCTCTCTTCTCCAGATCAGCTCCATATTTTCGAAACAGCAGCGGCAACCTATCAAATCAAGTCCGAACGAGAAAATTTTGGACAGTGAGTGAACGAAACTATAATGTTACCTCTAATTCATCCGACGGCAACAACTCGGTTCAGTCTCGCTTATAAACTGTATTCAAAACTTCGCTCATCTTGACATTTTCTTAAATAAACTTGAAAGTTTTCTTCGAGTTTTAGGCTCCTGTCAGTGCTCTATTTTAAGCACTGACCTTTGTCATTAACTCCATCATTGTGCAACTTCTCGTAATTTACTTTGGTTACTGCAATAATTGTGAGATGTATCAGATTAGTGATTTTGATTCAAGGTTCTTGTTTGCCAATATGTTGTCGTTGCTATACGAAAAACACGGAGCTGAAAAAGAACTTTATCTTAAATAGGTGACCATTTAAATTGGGT